AGTAACTGTGTAAAGATCTGTTCTTTATTTGGAAATGAATATATTTATTTTACAGGGTTCCTCTACAGTATATATATCCATGCTAAATGATCATAATTATAATAGTCAAAATCAAACTGAATCAGAATTTAAAGGAGTTGTAGAAATCATACCCAGCCGTATTGTCTGTAAAGGTTCTCAGTCGTACATTATCGTAGTCTAAGGAGCTTGTAAAGACTTTTTAAAGTTTCTCAAAGATGTTTCACCTCCCATCCGAGAAGATCAATTAGCGCCATTTACAAGATCCATATCCCATTCGATCCAGTTACTGCAGAGTAACTGGAATTAAGGTGACTTTCCACCAGTTGCTCTTAGGACTCATTTAAATAATGCTTCAAAACAATTGCAACTGTAAATCCTCAAATATGGATACAAAGTAACAGTAGTACAAAGTAACAGTTGCTGTTAGTTAGATGACTCATCATGTTCTTTACTGACATTTTCCAAATTCCAGTAGATGCCATTGAGTCCAGTAGAATTACTAACATGCTAACAGAATTTAGTGAGCCAAACGGTGACACTGAAATTAGAAGATAGAAATATAAATACATACCTCACAGTAACTGCACTTGTAGAGTTTCTTTCTGGTGTGGATCTGTTGGTGTATTTTCAGGTAACGTGGAGATTTAAAAGTCTTCTCACACAGGTCACATTTATAAGGTCTCTCCTCAGTGTGGGTAAACATGTGGCTTTGTAACTGTGCATCTGTTGTAAACGGTTTCCAACACTGATCACAGCAGTAAACATCATGTCCAGTGTGAATGCGTTGGTGTCTATTTAGGTCCCCTTGGCGACTGAAAGTTTTTCCACAAATGTCACATCTGTACGCATTAATTCCAGAGTGGGTAACTAGATGATTCTGTAAGTGGCTACTGTGAGTAAAAGCTCTGCCACACTGATCGCAGCTGTATGCTTTAACTCCACTGTGGATGAGTTGGTGTGTTTTTAAGTGTCGAGCCTGGGTAAAAGATTTCCCACACAAGTCACAGGTGTACGCTTTAACTCCACTGTGGATGAGTTGGTGTGTTTTTAAGCTTTGAGCCTGGGTAAAAGCTTTTCCACACAAGTCACAGGTGTACGGTTTAACTACACTGTGGATGAGTTGGTGTCTTTTCAAGCTTCCAGGCTGGGTAAAAAACTCTCCACACAAGTCACAGTTGTACGGTTTAATTCCACTGTGGATGAGTTGGTGTCTTTTTAAGTGTACAGCCTGGTTGAAAAACTTTCGACACAACTCACAGCTGTAAGCTTTAACTCCACTGTGGGTCAGCTGGTGTCGTTTCAAGTGTCCAACCTGGGTAAAAGATTTTCCACACAACTCACAGCTGTAAGCTTTAACTCCACTGTGGATGAGTTGGTGTGTTTTTAAGCTTCCAGCCCGGGTAAAATCCTTCCCACACTCCTTACAGCTATATTTCTTGTCCCCCTTTGTTCTGTGAGGTTTGTCGGCCTTCTGGGAGCGCTGACGTCTCGCTCCATGTTGGTCCTGCAGTGACAGAGATACAAATAGAGGCAGTGAGTGAAATGCAGTCGTGGAACAAACTGAAACTCCATTAATGGAATCAAAGACATTGTAGGTGTGTTACCGCCACCTTCTGCTGATATTATCACATTACAATTATGAGCTACAATGAGAGTTGTGACGTGCACACAGTTTCAATAGCAGAGATATTTTTGCTCACCTTTTGGGTTGAAGTCATTGTTTCCTCTGTAGTGGCTGAGCTGAGTCTAAATGGCTCGTCTCCTCCTGATGATCAGCTGGAACAAAAAATATATTTATATGCATTTCATCCTTGACCAAAAGAAGCTGAGATGGAAAGCTCAAATCCACTCAAACTAAATGTCTTCAGTCAGTGTGTCAGCCTCCAGTTAACAACAGCGGTGAAAAACTGCACTACTGAACCTCCACTGACTGAGTAACTGCAGTTTGGTGCTTCATTTGAACCTCATAGATTTTATTAAACAAAATGGATAAAAAAATACTCTACAAAACAGAAGGTGAGCTGATAGTAAGACGGTCATCATCTCAAACTACATCA